TCCCCTTGGACTACTCCGATTTGCTAAACAAACTGTGCATTGTTCTGCCTCCTACAAACGCACTTGTTAGATGGTGATTCCACATCAATACAGCCCCCGCTGCACCACTCAAGGCCTAGCAACATGCTGAACTCGCTGCACACTTTAGCCTCCTATAGACGTTTCCTTCACATTCCAAAGAGAAAGTTCTAATGCTCCATGACGTCGAGTTCCGGTCGCCTTGGGATGGCCGCGAATATTCCATCGTCCACATACAAGCCCTTGCATGAGTATCGAATTTTTCGAGTTAGCAATTCTCCTAACCTCTGTGAGCTTTGCACAACTCTTTCGATTGCTAAGCAACTCATTCCACCTTGCATGGTCTTATCCTTTACCAAGTGCCTCACTTGCCTTGAGCATCATCAAGTGTTGCTGTCAACGTCGAGCCGTAGCTTGAACTTAGCCATCCTAACCTTTGTATGCTATGCATTCTTCCAAGTTTGCTTGTTCTCATGGTGCCTCTTGCGTGAAAGGTCGGCCATTCCTTTGAATGCTAATTTTAGATACTCGGTCTTCCGAGTGACTCCTTTTCCCTACATCTCCATGCCCGTTTCCCCCCAAACGGTCGCGCGTGTGCTAACTGACCTCAACATAGCCCCGCTAGGTCCCCCACATTTGCATGCCAAGTGTTTCTATGAGTGCTTATCCCGCTCTGATACCATCTGTCACGGACTTAGCTGGTTTTGCCTAAGTCGTGCGACACCCTTATGTGTCTATCCGCAAAGGTCAACCTCCCCGAAACCTCCCATGGTCCCTTAGGACTTACAAAAGAGAAAACGAGTTAGAGAAAGTGCCTCACTCGGGATCCACAAGCATCGGTTCTAGAAACACTTCATAGACAATGTAAATTATAAATAGACTTTACAAGCTATGAATGGTTGCACAACAAAAGGTCAAAATGGTTCACTACAGACCGAATATCTCTCATAAGTGTCCACATGACACAACATTTATTTACAAGCCTAAGAAGGCCACCAAACCTAACTAAAATGGGGTTGTTAAGGCTTCAACCGTTCCTCGACATGCTGCACAAAACATAAATAAATAGAAAGACACAAACATACACAAGTATTACATCAAACATCCTGTTTAGAACTTTGTCTGTGATAACAATGTTGTCATTCAAGTTGCCATGAAGGAAGCAGTGCGCAGCGGAGATTGTGCTGGTAAAGGTAGAGGCCCAGGATCTAGACAATGGTATACTAATTGTAGCGAAGTCGGTGGACTTCGGGAGCTACTAAGCGATGGACTGTCCTAGAGCAGTTCTTCATCTAGGTGTGACCTAAGTGTGGGTGGATGAAAGTCGATTGCCAAAGGAGCGAACAAAATCGAAGATGGAAGAGACCCTGCGATGTATTGGCAAAGGACACACATGGAGGGATCACAATTCGAGTTCATCCCACAAGGATCAGAATGCAATAGAGATGTTACCAGTAGGTGACATGGTACAGTGGATTATGGTGGAATAGTTTGTGGCAATGCGATACACATGACATTGTCCCGTGAGGGACTATATCATACGGAGGTATGATCAGGAGCTATTGGAAGCTCCACTTCGGTGAACAACACGACGACAAGAAGGGCTATGAATTCAAGGAATGAAGGCCATGGTACTGCAGAGGCGAGTCGTCTGTGTGTCCATCGAATCTTGCATCAGATGAAAGCCTTGGTTATCAGCATATGAGGTGTTCCATTGAGGGAAAAGTTCGAATGCAAGTATCAGTGAGTCCTATGGGAGGAACTTGATCATGCAGAGGTATAATCGAAGTAATTGGAGAGTTGGACTACTCTAGAGCTCATATTCGCTTAAGGGAGCTCGACAAGTCAAAGGATAAGGTCAAGTAAGCGAATGTTGCTACTAAGGAAGCTAAGGAGAACAGAATCAGTGTAAACCCTACAACGTGATGATAGAGGCCATGCATGGGAGTTGTAGTTTGTCTTTCCATCGACCAAAGAGAGCTGCTTGAAGAACACAGAGGTATTGAAGCAAGGGGTCGAAAGGGGCGACGAAACGACGACGAGTCCAGAGGGACTTAGCTATCCAAAATCAAGTATTAGTTAGAATGAAGGTGGACTCGGAAGAGTACCATAGAGACATATCTACTGATTGTGAAGAAAAAGGATGTAGATGCAAGACGAAGGATAGTAGGGCCATGGGCATGGCAACACCACGGTACCGTAAAGGCGGGACTTCCGTGAAAGTCATTGATCCCTTGCTCTCATGAAGGGAGAGCACTTGGTCATGAAAGGGGCCGAGGAGGTGGAACAGGTAGAGGCAAACTCCAAGTATTGAGACAAGGCTGAAGGGCAGAGACCAAGGAACTTTGTAAGACCAGTGTCAACGAACTTCTCATCAAGATAGCCGAAAGAGAAGGACTTCAGGTCATGTAAGAGTGTATGACCAAGGAACGTAGCAGGTAGTACGCATTGCTATACCTTTACTACTCAGTGGAGTTGGCGGCAGGGTTGATGGAGAAGACGGTACAATCCCAGAGGCGACCAAAACTATTAGAGACTTACTCCAAGTTGGGGTGAAAACTTCCTGCATTCCAGAAGTTTGATGGCATTGAGAAGGTGAATCATAGTAGCTAACTCAATGCAAGGAGTGCAAACACTTCGAGTGCTTCAGAAGTGTGAGCAAAGAGCAGGCGAATGCCAGTAACCAGCTCGATGCATGAAGTACAACCCTTGAGGAGGCGGGCAAAGTCAAGTAACCATTGTCTTCTCAACTCTTAAGAGAATGGGCAAAATCGAGTATCACATTTCTCTTATCTATCCAACAGAGGAGCTCTGCACAGGCTTAAAGATCCTTCGAAGATATTAGAAGATAATATTTATCAAATCCTCACCAATGGTGATCAGTGATATTTGAGAGTAGATTATTTACTTTATTTCCCAACAGAATATCAATCGAAAGCAAAAGTGATGCGAATCCATTTGGAAGTGACAACTAAGTGAAAGAAGAGTCGATGGGTAAATTTTGTGGAGGAAGGACCCAAAACTTCAGAAGTTTGTGAGGCGATGCTCGTTAAAGCTCCAACAAGCATCCACCTAGTTCAAGCAGCATGAGACATTTGAGAGACCGGTGCATAGTAAGGATGGTCTTTTCCTTCATCTGGAGGAATTGTAAGAACCAATAGTGATCGACACAACTCAGCCAACCCCACACTAGAGTCAGAGTTATTGGCGAGTTGAAGCATCTTGGTAGATCAAAGGTTCAACTACTTAAAAACAACAACGGAGAGCAGTTGGGAGCCAAGAGGCACATTGCAGTTGGAGCAGAAGATTGAAGACTTAGCAAAGGCGAGGAGTTACAGTGTCGGCAAAGGCTTCGACGAGGACGTCGAAGAAATAAGTGGGGGAGAATGTCACAGACAAAGTTCTAAATAGGATATTTGATGTAATACTTGTGTATGTCCGTATCTTTCTGTTTGTTTATGCTTTGCACAGCATATAGAGGAATGGTCGAAGGCTTAACAACCCCATTTTAGTTGGGTTTGGTGGCCTTCTTAGGCTTGTAAATAAATGTTGTGTCATGTGGACACTTGTGAGAGATATTCGGTCTATAGTGGATTATTTTGACCCTTTGTTGTGCAACCGTTTGGAACTTGTAAAGTCTGCTTATAATTTGTATTGGCTATGAAGTGTTTTCTGGGATGTTTGCTTGTGAATCCCGAGTAAGACGTATTCTCTAACCCATTTTCTCTTTTGTAGGTCTTAAGAAACCATGAGAGGTTTCGGGGAGGTTGACGTTTATGGACGGACACGCAAGAGTACCGTACGACTTAGGCAAAACCAACTAAGTCCGTGATAGAAAGACGATCGAAGGGCAAGGGGGCAAATTGTTTATTAAAAAAAAATATTCTATGTGAAAAACCTAAATTAGAGATTTTTTTGAGAATTCATAATATATATATCATGAATTTTCACCCCAAAAAAACCCTAAGAAATAATGATATTATATTTTAACTCTTTTGCTCCTTAGATGGTTTTGTAAATATATCAAAAACATTATAATCATATTAAAAAATAAAAAGGATAAGTCTTTTTTATTTTCGTTAGAGCTATTTTGGGATTAAGACCACTTCAAAGAAAAAAAGAACAAAAAGGATATATCAACATGAAAATCATCTGAAATATAAAGATTTTTTTTTGAAAATATGCCACATTATTAGTTTGGGCAGACTTTTCCATAATTAAAGGGTTTCGATGACTCTCTATCACTAGTGAGGAATGAGAAAACCGCTATTTCATAGAGTCAACACACGGATGTAAAAGTTTTAATCAATATCACAAGCGAATCTTAAAGCACGATGAATCCCCAAATGTAGCTCCATCTAGTCAACGGGTTTCGGCACCATTATCAGCACCGTAAGGTTTGGAGCGAGATTAACGGACTCACTTTGGTACTCCGTTATATAAATTAGTCGAAGTGAATGGAAAAGAAAAATGGCAACACATTTTATTAATTTATACGTGAGGGTTCTACTCTAAAAGTGAGGTCATTTCGATAAAGGCTAATTAATTTTTTTTAAAATTAATTATCTTTAATATTTTGATTTTTATATTTTTTAAAACTTATATTGAGATCCTTATATTTACGAAAGTGAAACATTAAGATTTCTATACAGGATTAAAAAGATAATTTTATAAAATTAAAAATAAAAAAATTATTAGAGCTTCGTGGTTAAATATTTTAAATATAAGAATTAATTTTTAAAAATATAGAATTCAAAATGATAAGATAATTTCTCCTGGTTTTCTTCTTCCACTTTTCCAGTCAACGACGCTCGTTGATGTTAGACTCATTTTGCAGCTGTAGGTTTGATTGTTTGATATTGATCTCCTTGCTCAACAAGTATCCAAATGCTTCTCAATCATAGCAGCATTGATTCGTTTCATTCATTGAAAACATGATTTAGTTCAATAGTTCTAAACCAAGTAGGTAAAATCCTTCTCTGTGCATGAGAGGGCAAGCTGAAGATTTGATGAACAACATAGAACAGATCTAAATTCAACAACATGATTAAGAACTTGCAAGGAGAGAGAGAGAGAGAGAGAGAGAGAGAGAGAGAGAGAGAGGATTTGCCACCCTAGAAAGGTCTCGGTGGCTTCTCCAGCACGGCCGAGAAGAACACCTCTTGGCCATCTTTATCCACCTTTGGCACCACCACCCACCTGTGCTTCTTGTACCTCAGCAGCTTAAACGCCTCCAAGTAATCATCCAAATCCTTCCTCTGACAGAAGAAGCTATCGATCCACAGGAGACCACCAGGCCTCAGCACCCTGTCCCAGTCATACAACACGAAGTCCAGGAGTATGAAATCCATCCACCCATCAAGAAACCTCGTCGTGTGAATGATGTCGAGCGTGTTGTCGAAGAACGGAAGCCGCTGGTTTATGGTCAAGTACAGAGGGATCAGTCCTCTCAGCGCAATCATCTCACTGAAAGGGGCACCCAGATTGATGGTAGCTGTGACGATGGTGACGTTTAACTCCCTCATCCTCGCAGCAAAACTCCCCGTCCCCACGCTGAAGTCCAGTCCTATTCTAATCTCCCCCGGTTTGATCTGCAGCACTTCCCGTACCAGGAAATCCGGTGTCGAATTCGACGAGGGATCGATATACACCACCTTCGTCCATCTCGGCATCTCATGGTGAGTGAGATTGAAGCAGTCGGCGCACTTGAAGAAGCCTTTCCCTGTGCTGTTCCTCGCCAGGCAGGCGAAGCTCTTGCACCGGTAATGGCTCCAGCGGACGTTGCGGTCGTCGGGGTACCTCCATGTGGACTCGTTGATGGGCAAAGGCTTGGTGTACAGCTTCGGCGCCCGCGCGAAGCACCTCCGCCGCGGGAGCGGGTCGCAGCCGTGCACCATCAGACGCTGCGCCTGCTTCCAGTCGTCCTCGCAGAAGTCGCCGACATCGTAGTCCATGTACTCCTCCATCTCCTCCTTCATGGAGAAGCAGGCGTGGCCGATGCTCGCAAAGGTTCCATTGGCGCCCATGAAGTTCTGCTTCCCCAGCCTGTTGGGCTTAATCCTCATGTACTTCCTTACCTCCTCCACCAGGAAGAACTCGACGAGCTCATCGTATGGCTGGTTGCTTCTCGACAAGGGATGAGCCACCGCCGCTGTTCCTGACGGCCGGAGATGAGCGCTGCTTCCGATGTGCTGCAGTGGTTCCTTCACAGACCCTATCAGGCCTAAGATATCAGTGAGGAAGCCGATGTATCGAAGTCTCTCGCGCATCAGTTCGGAGTGATCTGTTGTCGTCTCCCTCAGATGTGCCATCTCTTTGACGATCTTCTCGATGATTTCATCCACAGTCTCATTGATTCCACCTTCTACCTGCCTGGGATCTGCGCTCAGATAACTGGCAAAAGCCTTGATGGTCAAATGAGAGCTCTGAGAATAGAATCTGGAGAACGTAACGACACTTAGCAGAAGCGCGAGCACAGCCAAGAACAAGGTGAATCCATACACCCCTCTCTTTACTCCGACCCTCAAGAACAGGTGTGGGCCTCTCATGGCTATGCTCAGGCCTCGCTGACCGACGAAGATTCAAGGAAGGTCAGATAGATCATTTGGAACGGATAATATCTGGATCGAAACATCTACACGGAAGAACAGAGCAGATTCTAGTCGGTGAGCCCAAAGGACGAGACATGTTCATGGGGAGAAGGACCAGAGATAATTACCCCGTCTGACTTCATGTTACTTTGCTTGCAAGCCATGGATGGTGAGTGACTGCTTCTTCCAAAGTAGCTTTCTTTATGTTTCTTGCATCGATTTTGGTGACAGTGAGGGGGAGAGCTTCTGTAGAAAGTCAACGTGGATTGTTTTGCTCCCCGCTTGACTTGTGGGTGTAGATTAGTCCAACTTATTCCTTATATCTATGCCTGTAATTTGAAGTTCTTAATTACCAATCTTTTTCTTTGGAGTATCTGTATGTTATTTTAGAGATAGCAAGTGGTTTGCATGTGCTGCCACAGCCCTTGTGAAGAGGCATATTGATATATGTATCATGTCGAGCTCATACCTATTAATATTTTAATTTGGGAGAGAATTTTAAATCGTGTATAAATAAATAATTGGATAAGCTTAAAGAGCTGAATCTGAGTTTGACTCACTTATTTGAATGACAATATATCAAATTAAGAGAACGTGACGTCACCTTTTAAAACGTTGAAATAAGAAAAGTGATTTAATGAGATAAATATAACATTTTTATATCTTGCTTTGATTGTGGGTAACGCCAATCATAAATATTTATTATATACTTTTATTATGAATAATATTTTGGCCTTATTAAAATTTATTAATCACATTTAAATTAGAGTTAGACTTTTATTTAATTAGAAATATCGGCATCGGCCCTGGTCATCTCACTACTACACAAGCCAAAAACTGACCGTCCATCAGGAGGAACAACATCCTTGATGGACAATGGACGGTGAGATCTTGACTATTTTAATCCCATTCTTTTTCGATACAAGCCGGATGATTCGAGTCGGTGACTCGTTGTATTTCGACGGCGCTCGTCTCCAATTAGCAGACGCCGCCCCTCTTGATCGAATCGGAATCACCGCGCAGCCGTCGTTCGTTCTTCCCGCTGCTTTGGATTCCCTCATTCGATCGTTGTAGCAGACGCTTTTCAAGCCTCGATATCGGAAGAGGCAGGGGGTGGGAGGTGAATCCGTGCGGCGGCGTAGTAATCTTCTGGGTCTTGATCTGTCCCTGAATCCCTCATCGTCGTGGCTGATCGTCGTCTGAATAGGTAGGTCTTGAGTGAGATGGGCGTCGGCCGATGGGTCTCGCTTCTTCTCGCGTTCGGATGCCTTTTTGGAGTTCTCGATGCCAGCGCTGGTGACGCGGATCCGCTCTACAGGTAAGACGGCTCTGGTCCTCACTTAAAAGTTCGAATCTTTGGATGATGAGCTTCTTTTTCTTGTATGAGTTTGTTATTGTATGATATAGGTTATCCAGATCAATTTACCCTGTTTACCGAGATTGCATCCGGATTGGGGATCTCTGGGTAAATGCTTGAAGGATTCTTGAGTATCTACATCACATGAGAACATTTGAACAGAATAGCTAGATGGTATTTGCTTTAAGTTCTCATTTCTGTTCTCATTTCTGTTCTCATTTAAATGAGAACTTCTAGAAGTAATCAAACCAGGCCCCAAAGCCTTTGCTTCATTAATGCTTTGGCCCATTCCGTGTCTGTCAATGGAAAAGAGTTTATTTGTTTTCATTACATTAAACAATGAACATGTTCAACAGTGTATGAAATGAGTTTATTTAATACTTTTATGCTCAACTCTGACTAAAAGTGCATACCTTTGGAAGGTATCCCTGAAACCAGTTCCCTATTGTTGGGCTGTTCTGTTAAGGAACATTAACAAACATCTCCTGCTAAATTCCAAGTTACTAGGGTGTTTAGTAGTTTTGCATACCCTTTAATAGCAAGATCATTGATGGATTTTCTTGATCATCCAAAAATATTTAGCATTTAAAAGCTTCTTATGGCAAGCCAGTTTATTGGATATAACTTGATGTAATGTGAAAGAAGTTCAATGATTACCTGCTATAAGAGAGAACAGAAGCAAAAGATGGGTTCTATTGTTGGGTTAATAAAGCCTACAGGAACCATTATTTGGATTGTGTAGGTTCACAAGGATCGTTTCATTGGATAGGATCTGAGTCTATATTTGGGTAATTGGGTTAAAACATGCCCAAGTTTTGAGGATTTTATTTGTTTGAGAAGAAAATGTTTATCAATCTCTATTATAAATATTATGTCAATTCTATTTTTATCTTTAAATGGGAATTTAGTGAGGGCAGGCCTTAGTACAATGGAAATGTTACTCATTTGTGACCTGGGAGGCCAGGGTTCGAGTCACGGAAACGATCTCTTTAAATGTTCAAAGGTAAAGCTGTCAACATTGACCCTCCCCAGATCTTGCATTGGCAGGATCCTCATTCACTGGGTATGTCCTTTTATATTTCAATGGGAATTTAGTATAGTCAATAGGAAACTTTGCCTTGTGAAGGGTAGCTATATGTACATGCATATAGCATCGTCAATTTTACATGATTAAAAAATCCATAGACCGAATCTATGACTCCTTTAGTTTATTCTATGATAAGAAAACATATCTTTAAGACTTTATTTTTCCATTGCTTCATATTTTTTGATGCCACCAGCCATTCCTTTTATGAATAATCATTTGAGCATTAGGTTTTTTGCCTTAAAAAGAGTTCTATTTTTCTCTTGAAAGATTTGAACTTATAATATTTCTTTCAGTTTGTCATTTATCATCGTTATATAAGTGGCGCTATCAACAATCACAAGATTTTTGTAGTTTGAGGATGTTAACCATTCTGCATTTCGGTTTTGCATCATTTTGGTCATGTTGGCTTCTAACATGAAACTAGTGACATCCTTTAGTATCACAAAACATCTGTATACTACTATGCACACTTAGTCAAAACTTGTGTCAATAACATCTTAACTACATTATAAAATATGTTGGTTCAAAGGTGTTTTTATCATCATGGCTATGGAATAGCCCTTTTAGGACCCAAGACAAACTGGATTTAGTTATTGTGTTTAGATTTTGATTTGACATAGTTAGTGCTACGAATTTGCATATGACCCTTTCAGTTACTGCATTCTTGATTTCACTCTGGTCAACAGAACCAATCTGCACCTATCAGTCACATTGTGGCACATTGTGGCTCTCACCCAACATGACTCGGTGTTACTTGTGACTTAAAAATTTTGCATGTTTTTGTGTTGTTTTACTCTAGATGCTCTCCAGCATGCTTAAGAAACCTACTTCTTTTGACATTATAAGCGACAATGCTCCTCCAATTGGTTCTTATGTGGATTTTGGCTTTTTTTTTTTCCTCACATATATTGTTTTGCTTATTTTCTTTTTGGAGTTTCAACTATTACTTCCTGTATAGCAAAAAATAGGAGAAAGTTTTCTTTACTGGTGGATTCGAGGTGCAGCGTGTTCCAATACTAAAATGAATACCTTCCTGTCAAAACTCCTGAGAAAAATGTCATTTTAACATCAGTATCAACTAATTCAGAAATACTGGCATCCAATTAAGGCACATGCAATTTTATCTGGATATGATGTTTTGGTGATATGTGCTTTTCGTTTCACAATAGTTTAGAATATATACATATGGCAGAAAGCTTAATTTTAGGTTTTTGGTAAAGATGCCTGTGTATGTAGGTGTCACTGCCATCCTTAGGGTTACTGGTTTTTTTCTAATGATCCTGTCTCATAGGTATTTTCTTGGACCTGCTTAGTATTTCTACCATGAACTTAAAGACACTTTTCATGACATGTACCTAAATACCAGAAATTGTGTTGTGCAATGCGAAAAGACTGGAAATATTGGGGACCACGCCATCCAGCACTGCAAGTTTTCATTTACTGATGTCCCTCTCAATGGTTCATGGTATATGCAAAAGCCACTTTATTTGCAGTGGAAACAACTGAACTGCAGGAGCGACTGCCGTTACTACTGTATGATGCAGAGTGAATATCAAAGGGAAAAACTTGGTTTGGGTCCTGCTAAATATCATGGAAAATGGCCGTTCAAACGTGTATTTGTTTTCCAGGTTTGTAAATCCCTTGTGGTTTGTTAAACTCATTTTATTCTATTGCTTTTTTGGTTACTTCTTCTAGCATGTTTCCTTTGTTCTCGTTTTCTATTCAGGAGCCTCTTTCTGCTGTCCTCTCGGCGTTCAATCTGTTGATGCATTTCATTGGCTGGCTAACATTTTTCATCTTAGTATCTTACAAGTTGCCTCTTAGGCCTCAAAGTCGGAGGACATACTATGAGTACACAGGCTTATGGCATATATATGGGTTATTGTCTATGAATGCTTGGTATTGGAGTGCTATATTCCATACTCGGTATGCATCTTTTTTCCAAATAAACTCCAGTGTTTGTGCACCATGTGTTGCTTTCCCACTTTCTGATCCTGGTGATGGCGATCAACCTATTACAGAGATTTTGACTTGACGGAAAAGTTAGATTACTCATCTGCTGTGGCTGTACTTGGATATTCTTTCATTTTGTCTCTATTGAGGATATTCAATGTGAAGGATGAGGCTTCAAGGGTTATGTTTGCTGCCCCAATTTTAGCCTTTGTGACAACACATATCTTGTACCTCAATTTCTATGAAATGGACTATGGTGAGGTCTCTTATCATTTACAGGTTTCCTTGCAAATTCTCTTTTGATTGCAAATATAGCTATCTTTCTTTCTTTATGTGGGCAGCATATGTTTTGGTTACTTGTGAACGTCATCATTTGTTGTTGCTATTCATTCAATGATATGTAATATGATGATGATTATTAGTTATTGTATAATTTCACTTTCTTCTTTTTTTTAGTTTGTAAAGCAAAATAAGGCAGGATCATGTTCATCCTAGCCTGAGAGAACATTTGTGAGCATACATTCCACTTTCCACTTTATGTAGCAACTATTTCCATGGATTTTAAGCACACATATTTTATAAGAATTTAAGAGGGTCAACCTAAGGTTGCTCTTTCTTCACTTGGGTTACTAGGATTCTAGTTGTGAAAAGTCTCTTTTCTTGCATTTATAAGTCTATATATATTGACTCTCCCTGAAGCCTACATTGGTAGGATTCTCGTGCATTTGCTCTCACTTTTCTTGTATTCTTTACTGGAATCTGGCTTACATGTCAAGGTATTAGCTGAAAGAATTTGTCCTAATCATCTGTACCAATTGATTGTATTATCAGAGATGCAGTGTACGATAACTAATTCCTACTGTCCTTTTCCGCTACCTCAGTATGTGGGAGTTTGATGACTGGAATCTCAAGTAATATTTGTTAGTGGATACTGGATACAGCACCAAACATTGCTAGTGAGGCATATGAGTTGTCTTTTCTCTTGTAATATTCTAGTTTCAATCTTGATTTCTAGGCTTTTGATCAGATGTAGCCTAGTGATACTCATAGGAGAATCAGTTTTTTGATTGCTTACCAACATCCTTGAAGCTAAAGAAGAAAATGACCTTTGATTTCCATTTTTTTCCTTTGGCTACTAAATCAGCAACTTGCTTATGATTTAGAATTGTATCTATCATCATGTAGTAAACTATTATGAGAGCAATATGGAAAACTGAAATTTTAGAAGTAATACTATTAGATAACACAGTAATCAAATTGACACTAAAGAGATGTACAAGTATGTTTATATGTTTAAATTAGCATAACTATCCATATCTGTTTATATAGGTACTTACATGTGTGGATCTGTATCCTTTAATCCTAACCAATGCGGTTCTTCCAAATAATGTTGCCATGTGGAATGAATACACTGACTATAAAACTGAGTAGGATTTCCACATAGATTTCCCAATCAATGGGCCAAATTCACACTCAAACTCAGTTTTCTGGTCCAGTGTATTTTTTAATTAAATTTCTGTAATATTACCATGTGTGTTATGGAAATAAACTACAATGATTTGTCTGTTGCCCTTCCTGCATTTATATCTTGGTTCCACCCTTGAAATAAACGATCTGTCTTGTCACTACATAATGGTCAATATAGGTGGTTTGTATGGTGAAAGACTGACCAGACTAAGCATGTTCTTTGTCTCAGATAAATGCTTGTTTCCGAATTAAAATCTCTATGAAATTGTTCCAAAGCCAGTTCTGTCCACAAAGTATCCAGTGCAGAAATTGGCATTTATATGTCTCCCAGTTTTTGCTGATCTCTTTTATTTTGCCAGGGTGGAATATGAAAGTGTGCCTTGTGATGGGTGTTTCTCAGATTCTGATGTGGGTAATCTGGGGTGGTGTAACTCGTCATCCCTCACGCTTCAAGCTGTGGACAGCTATGATCGGATGTGCTCTTGCAATGCTTTTGGAGATTTACGACTTCCCTCCTTTTCATGGATATGTAGATGCTCATGCTCTCTGGCATGCCACCACCATTCCCCTCACATACCTCTGGTGGAGCTTTATCAAGGATGATGCTAAATTCAGGACATCCACTCTTGTGAAAAAGGTCAAGTAAGTTCTTTCTGGCCGCTGCCTCATACATGAACCTCAAACACTGGACCTCATCAGTTGTTGAATTGTAATGGTCTCTGTTTCTCCATGAGAAATTTAATTATAATTACCTTAGTGGACTTCTTTCTTGTTTATTTCTATAAATTTTGTGTTATTGTTGAAATGAAGTGCATTGTTCATTTACTTTCCAAGCTAGTGCTGAATGACTTTGTCCTCTTTTATGTTTTTGATTTTAATTGACTTATTCTGTTTATTTCTATGAATACTGTCCTCTTGTTGAAATGAAGTACATTGTTCATTTCCTTTTGAAATTAGTGCTGAATGACTTGGTTCTCTTTTATATTTTGCAAGATAAAATGGCAGGGAAGAACTCAATTTTGCATAAACACCAACCATGCATCAATACAAATTCTACTCTATTAGATAGAATCAGCAGAGAGCTTACACTGATTACATACTTGAAAGAAAGCTTCAGAAGGGAAAATGACACTGCTATGCTTTATACACATCTAGATTAATGTGATTGCAAAGTTAAAATACACACTTGTAAATGTATCTGTGGGAAAATATCTAAATATACACCAGTCAAGCTTCGTTCCGTAATTGACATATAATACAAACGATGTTAGCTTTCTGTGTATTGTCTGAATTGGATTCATCAATTGATACTTGGATTTGTAAGGGGGAAGAAAAGAAAAGGGTGGTCACAGCTACAAGTGTGGAAAAGGGTCAGAAATATATAAAAATGGTGTATCCTGTGCACGGGTTCGCGTCGATATGGAGTCTTGCGGAGGGGAGGGTTAACATATGCAGTCTTGCTTTTGTAGGAGTATATCCCAGTGTTGGGATATGATTTGTTTGCTAACTTTAGATATCAGGATTTGTTATGGTTCTCAAATATCCCAACCAACCAACCCATGCATGCATGAATTGGTTAGTCCCATGCATGCATGAATTGGTTAATTAAGAACGAGTCGCGAAGTGAATAACGAACATACCTTAAAAGAGCGGAGTCAAAGGGCTCAAAAATCACTAATTTGTGGAAAGTCATCTAACCAGTTCAATTGCAATCATATGTATAAAGCGATCGAACAGGTCCAATCGACAATGAGCGGGTTTCATGCAATATTAACAACGCAATCAGTATCAGTCCATTCCATCGTCTACAATCGTTTTGTGTTGTTCCCATGGAAATACTCCCTTTTATCTAAGAAAGATAGGTATTATGTCATTTTATTTTATTATATCGTGTTAGAGAAAAATATTATTAACATCTTGGTCAATTCAATGTAGTCCGAATCCATATGTATAGGATTGTTCGAAGTACCTCCACGGTGGACCGAGATCAAAAAATTTTTTTTGATATAATCCCTTCGATGCTCAAGTTAGTAACCCGAGGTATACGAGTGTGAGTAATTTCCAATTATCTTTTTTCTTTGTGTTAAAGATCAACTCTTATATCTAGTCAAGACAAGAAAAAAGCTTGCGATTATCTTTCTGATCATAAATGATAAGAAGGAAGTTTGTGATTATCTTTTTAGTTATAAATGACAAGAAGGAAGTTGGTGATTGCTTTTTTTGGTCATAAATGATAAGAAGGAATCTTCGTCTTCTCCTCTCTTTAGGCATCATGTGGTGGTGATGTGTCATATGATTAGTCGACAATGTATCTCCTATCATTTGTTCCCTCCCTCCCTCCAAGGCGTGCTGCGGGGCTCTTTCGAGAGGGGCTCAAAGTGCGACATTTAGTTCATCCGACACAAGAGCATTTGAGATTTTCTCTCGTGAGTCGGGTTTTTTCTGACTCATGTGCCTTGGGCATATTTTGCCCTACGTTTTTGCTATGATAGATTTCTCCTCATGCGGTTCGGGTTATCCCGACTCACACACCTTGAGCATATTTGGTTTTGCACCTTTGTCGTGACGAATTTCTCTTGACACAGATCAAATTTTTTTTACTAATGTACCTCAGGCACATTTGTCCTTACGCCTCCACCGTGATGTATTTCTTTTCATGCAGGTTATATTTTCTCAACTTATTCACCTCGAGCACATTCGACATCGTGTCTTCATTGTAGTGGATTTCTCTTTATATGGGTCAGGTTTTTTTAACTTACGCACATTGAGCACATTTGGCCTTGCACTTTCGTCATGATGAATTTCTCTTCATACGGGTTAGGTTTTCCCGACTCGTGTCTCGAGTACATTTGGCCTTATGCCTCCATCGTGATAGATTTCAATGCTTTTTGAGTCATTCATTTTGCATGTTTTGGATCCTTTGTTTGACACATTATAAATCTTTTATCCTATGTTTTTCTAGTCCTTAATTCAATGGCGTCCCTTTGGAAGGGACACTTGTCTCAATGGTGAGAGGAGATAGATCAGCTTCCTCCCTATAAATCCCTCTTCACCTTATGGGTGAGGTTCATTCCTCCATTTAAGCCTCTAGAGACTCTTTATAAATCTTCTCTGCTTCGTTCTAGTTTCCTATATGGTAAGTTGGTCCTCGAGTCTCTTGTAGTCTCGGCGGTTCAGCAACAAATTGGTCTTCTGTCATTCTGCTCTTCTATCTCCTCAAGTTGAGATGTCTCTCCTTTCTCGTATAAGTTCCTCTCGATCTATTGACCACTAGACGATCGAGGTCCATGCTTTAACTTTGGACAACTTAAGGGTGGAGGAAGTCCTGACCACCCCTTCATTGGGGGAGGTAGTTCCGATGGACTCGAAAGTTATTCGGGACTTAGAGTCTAGAAAAAGCTCACATGACTATGATTCAGTAGTGAGTGCATCACTTTTAGATCAATTACGAGTCAAGCATTCTATCCTAACCAAGTTCGACTTACAAGTCCCCTAACCCAGTCAGTGTCCATTTGACCCTACGCCGAGGCCTATTTGCTTGTCCTGTGATACCCTTGATGCAGGAGTTCATTTTTCCCTTTACTTAGTGATAGTGTCTTACATACAATAGTGAAAAATATCATAGTTGGGAAATCTAGACAGAGCATCATATGCATAGCGAAATAATAGAAAAATAAAATCCTAGATTTCTTAAAGAAAAAGGTTTTATCGTCTTGTGAAGATTGATGCATAAAACTGAAAACGTAAAGCGAAAACCACGTGTGTCAAGACAGATTTGTTATTTAGGGAGATCGTATATCCCTGTAAAATCTCAAATCTATAGAAGTGGATGAAGGAAGTCAACTACCCTCCTCTCTAGCATTGATTCACACGGTAGATGTTGTTAGGATCAAGAGCGGCACTAAGAGGGGGGGGGGGTGAATTAGTGCAGCGAAAAATTTCAAAAATCTACGTTTCGATTAAAACTGATTCCGACGAAAATCATTTCGTAAGGAGTTTAACTTAAAAGCGTATGTGACTGTAGAGAAGGCAGTAAGAAGGTAATGTAGCTTGCAGTAATGAAACTTACACAAATTGAAAAGCAAACCATAATTCAGAGTGGTTCGGTCTTTGTGACCTACATCCACTTTCGGATTCCTCCTCCGTCGAGGTCACCGGTGTCCACTAAAGACCTTCCTTCAATAGGCGAAGACCAACCACCTCTTACAACGCTTTCTCCTTTTCACGAGTTTAGGAGAGAACCCTTACAAGTCTCACACATCTCTTGAATGATCTCAAAACTTAGAAAGGGAGGAGGAGAACTCTAGCACTTGTTTACAACATTTTTACACACCAACAACTCAAGATTATCTCAATGCTTTCATGCCCTTTCATGCAGAAAAGGATGAGGTTTTTATAGGCCTAAATGGCTTCAAAAATGAAGCCAAAAAGTGTCTAATCCCGGATTTCCGGGGTCCTAGCAGTACCACCGCCATTACTGGGCGGTACCACCGCTTGACACTGGACAATACCACCACTTGACAAAGCTCGGAGACCGAGCTCTAGCGGTACCACCACCTAACAGGGGTGGTACCACCGCTGGCAGCAATAACTGTTGGCGGTACCATCGCCCAGAAATCCTGGGGGGCACTACTTTCCAAGCGATGTCACCACCGGCCAAGAATTCAGGGGCTGAATTGGGTGCTCAATTCGGCCCAATTCAGCCCTATTAAGGGCCCAATTGACCCCTAATTAAGTTAGTGGGATCACCTCCTAATCCTAACTTAATTTATACTCTAACTATGATAACTAAGACATAATTACAGTATTGCTTGTTCCGGTGCGTTAATTGCTCTTCTAACGAGCTTCCAGCGTACTTCCGGCGAACATCCGACGAACTTTCGACAATGTTATGGTGGACTCCTGGTAAGCTCCTAGACTTTACGATGATTTTCTCGATAAGTTTTGATGAGCTTCTTTGGCAAGCTCCTGGACTTCTCGGTTGGTTCCGGTAGAACTTCCGATAAACGTCCGGACTTCCATCGAACTCTCGAACTCCCAATGAGATCTCAATCTTGACTCTGGCACAAACCCTGCTTTATGTCTTAATCCTGCACACTTTTCTTAACATATAAATTAGATCAAACAATTTACAATTAACTTCATCATTAAAATCCGAGATTCTACGATCTCTCCCTTTTTTATGATGGCAATCAATTGATAACGGAGTTAACCGTAACTCTCCCTATCTATAAGCCATACTAGAGAAAAGATATTCTTGAATTCAAGGCCTTTGAATTCAAGAAACAAACTGGTAAGATAAGTTAATTAAACTTATCAACATGTACATCATGATTTCTATCATGATCTAATATTCTCAAAATGATGTCAAGGCATGATATTCATTTTCAAGTATGATATTTCAAATATGAAAGATGACAAAGATAGTAATTCATCATTCTATGATAAGATATTAATTGTAAAATAGCAAATTAAGCTCTAGATATCTTATCATAATGAAGAAAATTTTTCAAGCAAACATTTCAAGTATATATGATGAAATACATTGCATGCATTTGTCATCAATTTACCATATTTTGGTATTATTTCTCCCCCTTTGTCATCAACAAAAAGGAGAACGATTCAACAATGCAAGTGTGGTAAAAATTCATGTCATATTTCAATTTGTATTTGACGATACCAATCATATCATTCAAAAGTTCTCACATTAAAAGTTATAAACATTTAAAGAGATAGCTTCCATTAACTTCTCCCCTTTTTTATCATCAAAACTTTGCATGAAGAAGAGAAGTAAGGAGGAAATCTATTAAGAACCAACTTTGTAAAATGATTTGAATCAAGTCAAAAACGATAACAGAGTTTCATTATATCATGCTTC